ATGTCGTTTCCATTAATGAGCAGTGTTTCTTGAATTTGCAACATTGTCGATACTCGAGTCCGGCTATTTAACCAGTTCAGCTAACTGTAATTTATGCTGAAAAATCTTCTTCCTTTCGAGTCACATAAGCTCGACCATTAACCGGTTTTTCTCCGAAGAGACTCACTTTCAGTCCAGAAAATTCATGCGAGCTTAAAGCTCCTTGACACATTTCCAAATCGTCCACAAATCGAGATAACTAATTAAAATAAGCAATTTCGCAATGCTAATCTCGGTTTCGATCAGAATCATAATAACAAGTCGTGATCTGGCCCCTTGGTCGAAATTCCTCCGGTTTATGCATGCAGAAGAGTAACTTTCTCGTTGATTTTATCATTGGCCGAACTAATAAACTAATCGATTAATTAATAAATAATGAATAGGTACTTTCGCTACTGATGGCTGGTGAAGGAAAAAAAACGTGAACTTTTCGACCTCTCTGTGACAAAACGTTTTACCGAGCGGATAATCTCAACCTGTTACACTTTCTAAATAATTACGTGTTGACATGTCGTGTTTACGGTCAAAAATTACCTATCTCGATCCATTTAGCGAAAGTTTTAGTATGTTATTCTAAAAACACGGATGTCTTTTGTGTTCTACACCGAATCAATTTCGTTGTAAAAATTACCGATTTTGACCTAAATACAGATAATAGACGTGCCATAAAAATGAAATTACCAGCTCTTTTGTCTACAGACAGAGGACAATGGCAGACGACAGTCTAGTTCTCAGCTGCGATTAAGTAATTCACTTTTCTTATTCCCATCAGGACATAATGGACATGTTAGCATACTGCACGATAAAAATTTCGTCGTATTGTACAGATAAATGAAGAATGCAGAAATAGCAGTGAGGCAATCACGGGAAGAATTTTGCACACTTTACGCATCGCGATAGCACCACTGAAGGTTTTTACGACGTTTTGTAACACGCAACACAACGTTTGATCCCTATCTCGGCCTCAAGCAGAATAAGTCATAATCTAAGCGAAATATTACTCTAATTTCTAAATTTACTCTAAAAGACGTAAACAGCGCCAAAACCCATAAAGTTTATCCGACAAAATTCTTAAAACATTAAAAAGACACTTGAACTAAATAAAAAATTTAATAATTATTCCGAGAAACTTCAATGAGAATTTGATAGTTGACAATGCAAAGTAAAGCACAATTTAATTCACAATTAACACAATTTAATAAGCAGCAATTTCTGAGAGACATTAACGGGAGATCAGGAGGGAAGCTTTAACTTGGAATTTATCTATCCTACCTAAGGCCGGGTCAGTATCTACAAAATTTAATTGTTTTAAAATTTTAATTCCCCAATTTACTTTTTATAGTGGCCTACTATGAACGCATTTTTATATATTTTGTACACCACGTCAAAACCTATGGTATTTTTGCTACGTTTTTAGCATTTACCTAATTCTTCTCGATTATTGAATTTTATATTTCAGAGTTAAAGCATTGTCGAATTTTATGTAAGCTTTTAGGGAGACAACTAATCAATGTGGCCAAATCCTATCGGATTTGATTAAAAATTTCATTTTTATTTAGTAAAGTGTCTTTTAGATTGTAAAAAATAATGTTTGGGTTAATTCGAGTAGGTTCAGGTCGGTTCAGGTCACTTTAGGCCACTTCGGGTTACTTCGAATTACTTTGGCTTGAAGTAAAAAGAAAGTGTTAAATGTATTGACTTTAAGATTTTCAAAAGAAGAAAAATTCTTAAGGAAATGTTTAAATTTAGTAGTAAAAATGCCAATCGAGACGTTTCAAAACATCGTGCTACAAAAGTCAGTTGGGGAGACTAAGAAAGTGTCAGATGTACTGGATTAAAAAATTTCTAGACTTGCAAAAAAAAACATTTAAATTTTTTTTAAAGAAATGCTTAAGTTTAAAAAAATGTCATTCGAGACTCAAAACATCGTGCTACAAAAGACAGTTGGGGAGACTAAGAAAGTGTTAGATGTACTGGATTAAAAAATTTTTAGAGTTGCAAAAAACATTTAAAATTTCTTTATTCTTCGACACTGTCAAAATTTACGGTTTTTCTCCCATGTAAGGAAGTTTTGACAACTGTTTGGCATTTCTCAATACAAAACGTCAAAAAAAATTATTTTTAACATATTTAAAGCAAGTTTAAGCCTTGTTGACTCTAATTCGAAGAATAAAATGTTGTATTCCACTCGTTTGAGTGTAAATCGGACGCTTTATTCCACCTCGTGGATGGTAAACCACTCGTTACACTCGTGGTTTAAAAATCCACTCGGTCAAATAAAGAGTCCGATTTACACTCAAACACGTCGAAACTATTAAAGAAATGCTTAAATTTAAAAAAATGCCAATCCAGACTTTTCAAAACATCGTGCTACAAAAGACAGTTGAGGAGACTAAGAAAGTGTTAGATGTCCCGGATTAAAAAATTTCTAGACTTGCAAAAAAATATTTAAAAATTTCTTAAAGAAATGCTTCAATTAAAAAAAAATGACATTTGGGACGTTTCAAAACATCGTGCTACAAAAGTCAGTTGGGGAGACTAAGAAAGTGTCAGATGTACTGGATTAAAAAAAATTTAGACTTGCAAAAAAACTTTTAAAAATTCTGAAGGCCAAGTTTGCCTTAACTGAAGGACTGGCCTTAACTTGGAATTTATCTATCCTACCTTAGGCCGGGTCAGTTTCCACAAAATTTAATTGTTTTAAAATTTTTATAGTGGTATACTATGAACGCATTTTTATATATTTTGTACACCACGACAAAACCTATGGTATTTTTGCTACGTTTTTTAGCATTTACCTAATTCTTCTCGATTATTGAATTCTACATTTCAGAGTTGAAGTATTGTCGAATTTTATGTAAGCTTATAGGGAGCTCTATTGTACTAATTAAAAAAAGAAAAAGATCTGTCTTATTAATTCAAGAATTAAATTGTATAAATAATAAAGACAAATTATAGAAGTATTAATTGGAAAAATCAGATAATGATCTGTTCTGAAAATGATCGTTTCGTCAGTGCTCGCCAACAGGTGAACGAATCGTTCTCTCGGGGTTGTCGTGACGTCACAGGTCAGAGGTCGCACGTGACGGTTCTAATGAACGGGAGACCGACACGCGCTCCATCAAGCCTTAGAAAGACGAAACGTGCTAGACACCTTCTCCGGATTAAAACAACACGAAAATAATCCGGCACGAAGGACCAAATGGTGCAACCGGAGCTATTGAGCAAATAAATAAAGCACGACTGAAAATCAAGTCAAGGTGTCGTTTCGGGTCCGGACTCGCTGATTTTCCGCTTCTTAACGTAGAAAGCGAGTATCCTCTAATCAAGTAGGACGATGTCACACCACAGTCGATTCTGATACGTCCGCCCGCTACGACTGAAAAAATTACATCAACTCGAAAGCCATCAGTCATCATTAGTGGTCTATTCGAAACGTTTTGTAACAGTTTCAATACCAAAGCGAATAGGGGAGAAATTTACATGAAAAGGACGGATTTCTCAGAGTCTAAAGACGTTACACCATCGCAGGAATCTGAGACAATGGGCTTTCCACATGGGAGGGATCATCTGATACTGCAGGAACGTGCGGTGTGACCCCAAAATTTGACTCTTATTCTACTTATTCAAGTTCAATTTTTTCAACTTTTTGTTTTTTTTTTTTGAATTTTGTATCTAACTCTGGTAATAAAAATCGAATTAGTGGTTTAATTGCGACTGTTGGTTGGCACACGACAATGCAATAATTACGGCTAACCTTAAGAGGTAACCTTGCTCCACAAACTCTAAGACCCAAGTGTAATATGCCTCGTTAGTGTTATTGTTACGTTACGTAACAATAGCGGGAAAAATCTGATGGCTCCGCCAACAGAAGCCGAGGATTGTGCAAAAGCCACTCTCAAAACATTGTTTTCCAATAATTAAAAGTCGTGATTAATTTTCGATCATTGTTAAGATGAGTCGTGCTTTTCATTCAGGGTCGTATTTAAATTTTTTGGCTCGCAGGCAGGAAAGCAATTTGCTGAATCTTTTGCTACCAGGGGCGTACCAAGGCTCCCATCAGCAGCCCACGCCGCCGATTTTCGACACCGGAGGGTGTTTTGACTCACAAACTTTCTAATTAAAGCGTTTGGGTAATTATAACTAGAAAGCTCGGATGATCCAAGATGATTCGAGAATTTTATGTCGCTCGGAAAAAATTAATTGAACATTGGCGTTTGCAGGTAATGGATGATGACCGATAACGGACGCGAAAGTCGTGGCGTGGTCATTACGAGATAAAAGTAAACCACTTTCATTGAAAAACAAAAAAAGACGACAACTGAAAAGGTTAAGGCAATTTTGACCATCTGAAAATTTAAAGCGCCATCTGCTTAACGACTGTTGAACTATGTTTTTACACAAAAATTATTTCTTCCGGTTTTGCAGGTGTTACAATTAAAAAGCTTGTTCGCACTTTTTTTATGTTTTGCTCAACCTTTGACCTGAACCGAAAATGTCTGAAATAATTCTTGCACTGACCTTAATAATTAATCAAGTCGGCCTCGATTTTGGACGAATTTTGGCCAATTTTCAATTTCTTACGGTATTTATTAGATAATTGATTAGAAAAATAATAATACGTGTGCGTGTTTTTTTCCTGAAATAGCGCAGCTGAAGGATTAATTCAATAATGAAGAAATTCGATGAAACATTGTTTGATAGCAATAAACGCAATTAAAAGCTCTTTAAGTGCTTATTATGGCTTGTTAGGTCGTGGCAATTTACGACACAAGAGGATAATAGAGCGATGATTCGTCCTGTAATAACACTGAAACGAACAATCCGATCGCGGAATTTTTTTAGTTCATATATGTTTCACACGTCTGAGTGTCATCACTAAAGCATTTTAATTAGATGAAATTAATTAAGTAATGGGAAGAGGCGCGAAGGTTAATCTGAATTGTGATGATGATACTGACCTTAATTTTTATTGCACCGATGAGAGATGTCAGTTTTTCAGTCTAAATCATTCACAAATCACAAGAGTAATAGAATTTCCGCATGTCTTGTACGACAAAAGCCATTCTGTTCACTCACTGAAAATCGGCGAAGATGTGTCCACACACCACGCCTCGAACACCTGCGACTGTTTCACTTTTCAGTTTCAGACAAGTGAACTTTAACACAATACTCGTTCTGTGTCTGAAGTGAAATTATCCGCCGAAAATCCGGAGACTTCAACGCCGGCACAAGACACTCAATTCCTCATCGTCGGTACACACGTGTGCAGGATCGCGAAAAGCGCTAAGCGTGCGTTCCCACCGACGTCTGACGGAGCACTGGTCCGCAGCTCTCGATATCTAGCGGGCTTATACAAGATATTGCTCTAGTTCTGCTGTCTCGAGATCGAAAGTGTTTGGCGGATGGACCTGGCTTGATACCGTTTAGTTTTCTTGGAGTGGTTGCACTGACCAGTTCCTGGTTCGACCAGCAGGAATCACGGACCTTGAGTGGCAAATAAACATGATTTTTTGGGGAGACTTCAATAGGAGATGAGGACGAAAACTCTCTCTAACAATTTTTGATTTTCCTGCAACTGCAGGAAAACGCAGTAATGATAGTAAAAGTGACCACGCCCTGTACGATCGACTGTCAAGTCGAGTTTTGTTATCTTATTTATTGAAAATGCGATCACCAGGAATTATTACGTTACCATTCCTGCACGATTAATTATTTTTGAATAATTATTTGATTTATTAATTCCCGTTGTTGAGACATAAGCAAAAATCTTTGACTCTTGATAATTACCTCACAAAAACTTTAAGCGAGTAATTGCTTTTCAGTACTTTCGATCTGAACGATTTTCACTGTTACGTCTTGAAACAAAACTGGTTTCAATTTATGACAGATGATTCATTTTTATTTTGACGCTTCGAGTGAAGAAAAATTGTTGTTGATGAAGAGAAAAAGAAAGGACGTTGCTACACGATATTTGTCGCCTATTCATTGACCTAGGTTGCAGGAACACAGTTTCCTGTCTTTTGTTCTCAATAATATCTAATTTATGAACTCAGGGTACTACTGACCTAATAAAACTCCGGATTTGAGTCATTGAAACCTGAACTAAGCCAACAAAGAGCAAACAGAGATAACAGATTGACTCGAAACTCGAAGAGTGTTACAGATATCCCTTCCTGGAACCTTGGACGGAGTGAGTTTGCGTAATTCTTGAACCGTTCAAATAATTGCCTTCCCTTTTTTTAAATTAAATAAAAAAACTCTATTTAATACACAATGACAACAAAGAATAAAATTTAGTTTTCGCAAAAAAAAGAAACATTTTTTTGTTATCGATAGAGTATTTAAATATAAATATTTACAAGCTGTCACAAAAATAATTGAAAGAAAAAAACAAGAACAAATATTTTTTAATTTAATTTTAATAAAAATATGAGAATATCTGTAATAAACTCTGTCTCTATTGGCTTGAATTATGGTGCAATAGAAGTAATTAGCTTTTTGGGCTTTTTGCCCAAATCCTACGTCCTAGGTTTGTTTTCTTTGAGGTTGCTTTAACAGCCAGCTGGTTGCTTTGATAACAATAGCTTTACTCCCATTAAATCTTTTATAAACTAGTTCGGTAAGTCAAAACCATAAAATTCAAGCAAAAATAGACGGATTTCATTAACCATATTGCAAGGCAATTAAAACAATGAAACAATGTACTCCCATTTTCTTTACTTATAAATAGTTGCCACAGATTAAAAAAAAATTTAATAAAAATTGTTTTAAAAAAAGTTTTCTTTGTTTTGTAGTTTCTTTTTAATAATTTATTCTTTATGCATGCATCCACCGCAATAAAGCTTGAGTCTATTCATTTGAATGTTGTTTTAAACATGTACGCAACGGTAAATCTGTTTACAACTTTACAAACTGTAGCAAACGTGACTTTATAAGTATTAAGAAATCTTTCCAATTTATCTTCTGCTTTAATCAGATCTTATTTATTTGCTTTTAAAATTTTGTTTAAATTGTACCATGTTTATGTATTTATGTTGTCATTCTACAACATTAGCATCACATTTATAACACACGTCAACCTTGGGCGTCAAATTCTCGCATTTTTGGTGGAGACTTCAACGCTAGATCAAGACAATAAACTCAGAAACTTCACCAATTTCAATTGTATGTTTCCAAATCTAGTCCATATTTGCAAAACGGCTGGTGATTACACGTTTTAAACGTCTGATTTGCAAATGGTTTCGAAAATCGCTTTAGACGAAAACTTCCTGTCTAATTTTTGTCATCGCAAATCCCCAGTAAATCATGGGCTTTTACGGCCACTATTATCGCCAATTATCCAATAATTAACAAGCAATTAATATCACCTACTGCGTAAATTGTCCCCTGACAGCTTAATAAACACTGTTACGTAGATGTGACCCGCGTCTCGCTTTATTACCTCACACCGTCTTATTATTCTTATTAGAAGCCCACCACCGTTTCCCTATATTATTTACAACTTCATAACTTGCCGTCTTACTCGACACTTTATTTCCGTGACTTACTGCAAATTATGAAGTTGGCGTTTTTGCCCATAAACGAGAACGACACCCGCTGCTTGCTGCGCACCACACCCACCGCTCCTGAACTCGAGGAAGACCTCTTTCGCAACGAATCGATTACAAGAAGATGACACCCTACGCTAAATGCAACTTTCGCAACACCAGGAACGGAATTTAAACGAGACTAATCGCGGGATTAGTGCGTAATTGATGCTGAAGTGGGTTGGCTTAATTGGATCTTGTGCAAGAACGTTGAGCTAAGACGATTTTGGGGTTCGCGAGCCCGGAGGAGGCAATCTACAGGTGGTCCAGAAAGTTGCGATTTAGTAGTCTATTATTGATATTGAATGGAGGTACAGTCAAATTTACGTAACACATGCCTGCGAGACATTTATTTACACTATTATAATCTGATTATTTCCTTTATGGTTACATTTATTGAATACTAAGTAGCCGGAAAGTGACTACTTGTTACACGAATTGAGAGCAGTAGTATAAATTATAGATCTGAATAAATTTAGGTTTTTATTGGTTCTAAAGTTGAGGCTTATACGCAACAACCGTGCTGTTTATCGATTATTAAGAAAAAAACTTGTGAGACAATTTATTGAGAAACTATTTATATGTAAATAAAAATAGTCTGTAGCAGCTATTCTTACAAAGGTATATAATAGTTTTTGAATTATTCGTTGTAATTATAATAGTTATTAATTGTAAGTGTGTGTTAGGTAGCGTTTTATCCACGCAAGAATATTTAACCGCGGGAACGCCAGTTCCAGCAGTTAATTTTCTTAAGTGGATAAAACGCGACTAACACACGACTGCAATATAATGTTTTTTCCAGAATCACAGGTCCAAATTATTCCAAACTTAATTAAAAATTAAACTGACATTTATATGTCACGCCAAATGTGCTTTCGGTTAAACGTAGTAAGCTGTTACGTGGTGCGCTGGTTACTAACAGTGAAATAAAGTTACTTTATTCCACTAGTGGATAAAGTGGTACATGACACGCATCTAAAGCGTTGAATAAAGTCTCTTTATAGAGTGATTGTGGCTAAAATATATATTTCTTTTTTGAACATTGTATTAAAAATCTTCATCATAAATTTTTTGTAAGAAATTTCTGGTAATAATTTGAACAATGTTTACATTTACCTATCACTGCTGAAAAGCTTTTCGGGAAAGTGGAAGCAAGATATTTTTAGTAATAAGGTAATATTTTTTCCTACGAACCTAGCAAAAAGTAAGTTTTTCCACCCTAATTTCCGAAAGAAAAATCGCCAATTACCTCTCAGGGAGGTAAAAATTTTTCCTCCTCATAAAAACGGAAAAACATTCTATTAGATTTAATGGAAAACTAGGACATCAAGAAAAATTGTTATTTTTAAATTTAAAGTTTTTGTTAGATCGTAGAAATTTTTTTTTTATTACACTGGAAGAAAGTGTTTTTCTCCCTGTTTTTCTCCCTAATACAAGTAACTATTTTCAATGCCTCTTTTAGAAAAAAAATCGTTTTAATCTCTCTCTCGAGGGAAATTTTCCTCCCTTGGGGGAAAAGTGATACTTATTTAAAAAATTCAGTAAACTCCTTTTCATAATTTGTTCGAGATTTTTAAGGTAGTAAATTTAGTCACGCTTGATTATCTTCTTCTAATATATCTTGGGAATGTGATTCTTAGGTTCACTATCTGAATCAATCATTTTATTTGTATATATTTTTGACTATTTGAAACTCAAAAGAGAAATTAAAAAAACAAACGTCATTTCTCATTTGTTTAGAAATAGCAACGATGCTAAAGAACCCTTTCCATTCCATGATGAAAACTGAATTATACACACTAAGATCGATCATTTTTAATTTTAGTCCTTTATTTGATTTATTTTTATCGGTATTTTAAGAATTGGGTCGTCGAAAAAATCATATCTAACACCGAAGGATTAAACTTCATATTCGGACGAAAATGCATGTCTTTCCTCCCTTGATATACAAATAACTATACCTATTTGTTTATTTTTATATTTTTATATTTTTATTTTCTTATTGTACCTTTATAGTCTTGTTCCGTTATTTTTCAAAATCATTTTTTTTCAAGCAAATGTAAATGTGTATGAACTTTTCAATTGACCTAAAAGGACAATTAGTTTAGTGGGGGCTTTATTCAGACATAAAAAATTTAAAAAACTTTTTTCAATTTGCACATCAGAGTTTTACTTATGTTGTCAAAAAAAATTAGTCGACAAAATAACTTGAATTCTTTTCTTTTTCCTTAGCATTTAGGCCAAATTTGTATATTGCTGTTGTTTTTGCAAAAAACGGCGTTTCAGGTCACTAATTTATTCAGCATGAATATATTTTTTCATGAAAAGTAGTAAAGCCGCTAACATCGCCAACACCGAGTAACTGTAAACGGCGAAATCCTTCTTTTTGCTCCTCTCCTCATCAATAGAGAGTCTCGTCAGATCGATAAACTCACGTCTCTTGCTTCTTTTTCGTTGTAGTAAAAGGATGCTCGCGTTCTCATTGAACAAGCGTAGCCCCCCCGAGGAATACCATTTATAAGAAACCATCTCACTTTCTCACAAAACGACAAAAAATAATAACTAGTGCAAAAATGGAAGACCAGTTGAGCAGCAAACCGTTTCGACTCGTCCGAGTACATTGACCAAAAGGACTGGTCATTGCGATCAAACAGGATAAGAACTGGGGCATATCGACTTACAAAAGATTGACAACGTGAGGTGATTAATTGTTTTAGTGAGAACGTGGTGGACGCCGTTAGATAACACCAAATGATA